CTGGTTGTGGTGCTCGATGCCCATGCTGATGGTGTTGATCAAGATGGCGATCATGATTCCACGGCTGAAGTACTTGCTCTCCACGATCCCCCACAGCTTCCTCCTGACGTCGGCACAGATCCGTCTGCAGTGTCCAAAGCAGCTGGGCCTCCTCTTGAGGACCGGGGCCTGGTCCTCCGGGTGGTCCTGTGAGTGGTCCTCCTTCAGGGCCTCCTCGTCCTCCGCCTCCTCCCCCTCCGTGGCGGTGGTGGTGGTGCGCTCCCTCAGGCACAGGGAGCACACGGGGCACTCCTCTCCTTCGTCCGGTAAAACCACGGTGACAGAGTTGGGCTGGGGGTTCTGCTTGGCCGGGCGCGGACATCGACAGACTGCCAGAAGACGGAACGGGAACTTAAGAATGGAAGCTTCAGCGCAGTTTTAATACAGTCAATTCTTAAACAATATTAAAGGTGGAGTAACTAACATGTCGTGCATCTGTGCAATCATTTTGATTGATGTCAGAATGTGCAATAATGTCAGAATGTGCAATAATGTCAGAATGTGCAATAATGTCAGAATGTGCAATAATGTTAGAATGTGCAATAATGTCAGAATGTTCAATAATGTCAGAATGTGCAATAATGTTAGAATGTTCAATAATGTCAGAATGTGCAATAATGTTAGAATGTGCAATAATGTTAGAATGTGCAATAATGTTAGAATGTGCAATAATGTCAGAATGTGCAATAATGTTAGAATGTGCAATAATGTCAGAATGTTCAATAATGTCAGAATGTGCAATAATGTTAGAATGTTCAATAATGTCAGAATGTGCAATAATGTCAGAATGTGCAATAATGTTAGAATGTGCAATAATGTTAGAATGTGCAATAATGTTAGAATGTGCAATAATGTTAGAATGTTCAATAATGTCAGAATGTGCAATAATGTTAGAATGTTCAATAATGTCAGAATGTGCAATAATGTCAGAATGTGCAATAATGTTAGAATGTGCAATAATGTTAGAATGTGCAATAATGTTAGAATGTGCAATAATGTTAGAATGTGCAATAATGTTAGAATGTGCAATAATGTTAGAATGTGCAATAATGTTAGAATGTTCAATAATGTTAGAATGTGCAATAATTTTAGAATGTGCAATACAGAACGACATGTGTCACTGTCACTTAGTCCCAGACCCTCATGCTGCCGATATGACCCTCATGCTGCTGATATGACCCTCATGCTGCTGATACGACCCTCATGCTGCTGATATGACCCTCATGCTGCTGATATGACCCTCATGCTGCTGACACGACCCTCATGCTGCTGATACGACCCTCATGCTGCTGATACGACCCTCATGCTGCTGATATGACCCTCATGCTGCTGATATGACCCTCATGCTGCTGATATGACCCTCATGCTGCTGATACGACCCTCATGCTGCTGATACGACCCTCATGCTGCTGATATGACCCTCATGCTGCTGATACGACCCTCATGCTGCTGATACGACCCTCATGCTGCTGATACGACCCTCATGCTGCTGATACGACCCTCATGCTGCTGATACGACCCTCATGCTGCTGATACGACCCTCATGCTGCTGATACGACCCTCATGCTGCTGATACGACCCTCATGCTGCTGATACGACCCTCATGCTGCTGATACGACCCTCATGCTGCTGATACGACCCTCATGCTGCTGATACGACCCTCATGCTGCTGATACGACCCTCATGCTGCTGATACGACCCTCATGCTGCTGATACGACCCTCATGCTGCTGATACGACCCTCATGCTGCTGATACGACCCTCATGCTGCTGATACGACCCTCATGCTGCTGATACGACCCTCATGCTGCTGATACGACCCTCATGCTGCTGATACGACCCTCATGCTGCTGATACGACCCTACGACCCTCATGCTGCTGATACGACCCTCATGCTGCTGATACCTTGGCTGATACGACCCTCATGCTGCTGATACGACCCTCATGCTGCTGATGATACGACCCTCATGCTGCTGATACGACCCTCATGCTGCTGATACGACCCTCATGCTGCTGAACTGACGACCTCATGCTGCTGATACGACCCTCATGCTGCTGATACGACCCTCATGCTGCTGATACGACCTCATGCTGATACGACCCTCATGCTGCTGATACGACCCTCATGCTGCTGATACGACCCTCATGCTGCTGATACGACCCTCTGATGCTGCTGATACGACCCTCATGCTGCTGATACGACCCTCATGCTGCTGATACGACCCTCATGCTGCTGATACGACCCCTCATGCTGCTGATACGACCCTCATGCTGCTGATACGACCCTCATGCTGCTGAAGACCCTCATGCTGCTGACCCTCATGCTGCTGACCCTCATGCTGCTGATACGACCCTCATGCTGCTGATATGACCCTCATGCTGCTGATTGACCCTCATGCTGCTGATACGACCCTCATGCTGCTGATACGACCCTCATGCTGCTGACCCTCATGCTGCTGATACGACCCTCATGCTGCTGATATGACCCTCATGCTGCTGATATGACCCTCATGCTGCTGATATGACCCTCATGCTGCTGATACGACCCTCATGCTGCTGATATGACCCTCATGCTGCTGATATGACCCTCATGCTGCTGATACGACCCTCATGCTGCTGATACGACCCTCATGCTGCTGATACGACCCTCATGCTGCTGATATTTACAGATGTAAACAGAACTATATCTTTCTAACACTAGAATGTACAGTTTATTGCCCTTGCTTCTTTATTATGCTAAAGTTAGAGATTGCATTTTATTTTTAGTATATAGTTATTGTTCACTTATCTCTGTAACTGTTGATGCAACACTGACATTTCCCAACTGTGGGACGAATAAAGGATCTCTTCATCTTTATCCAACCAAACCACATTTGAACAAAGATAATGCATAGTATTTATTTCAATTTGAAGTGACTACAACAAGAACATGTTCTTCTTCTTTTGCCTTTACTATTAAATCATAAAGACGTATGAATTAAAAAATCCTGTATTTTCTAGTGCATTAAATATATACCTGTATAGTTGTATGTTTACATCTGTACATGCAGCACGAGGGTCTGGGACTAATGCGACGAAGAGACTGTAACACATTCTTTTGACATTATTGACAGTAAAGTGACAGTGGACACGCGTGGTTAACCACTTAGCACTTTGCTAACTTAGCAAAATATGTGAAATGTACAACATGTTTTGTATAAGTTTAGTCAGACCAATAGTTAATGCAGCAGCCAATTAGAAACATGGCAATAGTTGGTCAAAACAAAACAAATGAACCAAATAATAATATAAATGCAGATAAACTCCAGTCCTTTCATTTTCATGTTTCTACTTTCTATTGAACCCGTGTTGTTGTTCTCAAATGGCAGTTTCAGTTTGATTTGATTAGTCATTGAATCATTATGAAACCCAGTTCATAATGAAATCTTTCAGAGATTGACGGCAGCCGCACCTCCAGAATAAAACCAAGAATCAATACGAGGCTGAGTGTGTTAAATGGAATAATAACGGGACGCAGCAGGACGGCGTTTCTCAGACTAATTAGATTCACTGGAAACATTTCACTGAGAAACTGTTCTGGATGTGGCTTTGAAGGCGACGGTAAGACACACACACTCACATGCACACACACACGCACACTAACACACACATGCACACACACACATGCACAGTAACACACACACACACACACACACTCACATGCACACACACACGCACACTAACACACACACTCACATGCACACACACACATGCACAGTAACACACACACTCACATGCACACACACACGCACACTAACACACACACACACATGCACACACACACATGCACAGTAACACACACACACACACACTCACATGCACACACACACATGCACACTAACACACACACTCAGATGCACACATATGCACACACACACACTCACATGCACACACACACATGCACAGTAACACACACACACTCACATGCACACTAACACACACACACGCACAGACACTCACATGCACACTAACACACACACACATGCACACACACACTCACATGCACACACACACATGCACAGTAACACACATGCACACACACACACACACACACACACACTCACATGCACACAAATGCACACACACACTCACATGCACACACACACATGCACAGTAACACACACACACTCACATGCACACTAACACACACACACAGACACTCACATGCACACTAACACACACATGCACGCACATGCACAGACACACACACTAACACACATGAACACACACTCACACACACATGCACACACATTCACATGCACCCACATGCACACACACACATACTCACATGCACACACACACGCACACACACACACGCATGCACACACACACTAACACACACACACACACTGACACCCACACACGCACACACACACACACACACACACACACACACACACGCACACACTAACACACAAGTGTACTCTAAAGGATGATGTTCGCATTGAATGAGCATTATGTCAGATTTTAGGATATTTTAGGAATATTCAGATGCACATTGTAGCAACACATGTTTTCATCACAAGGCAAGGCTAGTTTATGTGTATAGCACGGTTCATACACACGGAAACTCAAAGTGCTGGAAAAAAAACAGAGACAGAAACAATCCTACAGGCAGTGAAATCCATTTTTTTTAACCTAAAATCCTACGTAGTGTAACTTTAACAATGCATCTATACAGTTTGTGGATGAATCCAAGTGGGATGAAGAACACCTCCAAATCTGAGGCCATCCTGGTCCTCCCCAGACCCTCACAGAGCTGCTGTTCTCCAGTGGACTCACCAGGAGGACCAGAGAGGACTGGGTGGCAGCTCTGATCGCCAACCCTCAACCCAGGAATGGACAAAGGAGATGAAAACGGATGGATGTAAATATAAATTAAAGTATGAAGACTAATGCCTCGCGTACATCGGACTGGCAACTGATTATATCCGTGGCCGATGAGTTGCTGCCCCGCACACATCGACAACCTGGTGAAAACGGGCAACAGTAGCAGGCCAGTCTGGGGAATAACAGCGCGTACATCGACAGCGACTGGCCTCAACTACAGTGTGTTTTCTGACATGAACTGTAGAGGGCGCAACACACGCAATACACACATGTTGTTGGAGCACATCGGTGATATCTCCGGATCTGAGGACAACTAGTTGCTGAAAAGTAGAATACGGGCAACTGACTGAATCCGGAGATCGACAGTTTATCTCCAGTTGTAAGAGCGCTCACATCGACCGATTTCAACTGATTGTAACCCACATAAAATTCCGTGGTTAAATCATTTTAAATAATATGAGAGGATAAAAAACATTTTGTGAGGTCACGTGATTTTTACCTGTGTGCACCCGGTTCCGGATTCTCTCAGCCAATCACGCTGCGGTATTGCCGATACATGCTTCCTGCTCTCTCTCTCCGGCAGAGAGGTGGGAGAGAGACAGCAGGACGGTCACAACAGGTTGGTCTCGCAAACTAAACTTTTTAAAGCTGGTTCATTAAGCCTAGCGCTAAACTTTGTCCACCTCAGGAAGCTCTAACCGCCGCACGCTTCGAGCATTGACGGGTTCTCGCTGCGCTGTGTTATTGAGTGGAAATTGGTGAGTGAATGTTTATTTTTTGTGTGTTGTTCATGTAGCACTGTTGTTTTAGCAATTGCTTGTTATTGTGATGAAATCTAGCTAGTAGGAATGTGATGACATGTGTATTTATTTGGTCCTGTTTATTCAAACGGGCCAGGTTTGCCCTGTCGGGTACAAACGCGATGGCGAGCTAAGCCCAGAGCCGAAAGCACCACGAACTGACAGCGAGCTACGTTACTTCTGCGGTCTGGTAGGAGAGCCGTTGTGGCCGTCTGCTCCCACCTTTTTCAGTCTTTGGTGAATGACAAGATGGACTATTAACGAACGCTGTGAACTATTGAACCTTGAATGAACTTTAGGAACTTTATAATGTGTTGGATCGGGAATTAACACAATTCATATGGACATTAACTTGTTTTGAAATTGACTTTTATCGTGGCCGACTGTGAACAACTGTCTGACTATACAAGTGTTTCTGTTACTGTATTTTTCCTGTTGCGAATCCATGTGCACTTAGAGTCTGCAGACTGTACATATTGTAAATACATATCTCACTGTACATAATATATTTCCACTTAATAATAAGGCTTATTGCCGCTAAACTGCAAACCGTGCGTCGTGCCTTTTACTGTCCCTGCACCTCCGAGCCGTACTTAGCTTCTGATCTAGCCCAACGTGATCCAATCTCTGTATATGCTACATGATCATCTCCATCATCTCCTCTCAGTCGCCAAAAGCCGCCTTGAAACTAGTTGTCTCCAGTTACTCTGTCCATGTACGCTAGGCTTAAGATATTTTGCTTTGGTCATTTCTAACATCTTTCCCAATCCAAGCTTTTCCACCTGCACCATGCTTCCTGTATCCCACTCACCCCGGTGTTGCCTGGCTTTGTGCCTCTCTCTCCCCGACCCTCCTCCTCCTCGCTCTCCGGATGTGGGCCGCCGGTTCCCCCTCCCCGCCGAGGCCGGAGGGGTCAGTCCGCGGAGGCTGTAGTAGAGCGCGGCGGACCTCCTCTTGGCCTTGCGCAGGATGTGGCACACCAGCTGGAAGATCTCCTCGTAGCAGTCCCCCGGCTCCGTCATGCTGGCCAGGGTGGAGGAGGACAGGCACTGGGCCCTCTGCTCCTGCATCAGCTGGTGCTCGCGCTGCTTGGTCTCCGAGAACTGCGTCGCGATGACCACCAGGCACAGGTTGATCATGAAGAAGGAGCCGATCTGGGCAAAGAGGAAGAAGGAGACGGAGAAATATTGTGAAACTGGGTGTGTGACTTCACTTTGCTGTAGAATGCCTTGGCTTCATCCCATACTTTAAAACAGTGTTTTTCAACCACTGTGCCGCGGCACACTAGTGTGCCGTATGATATTGTCTGGTGTGCCGTGAGAAATTCGTCTACTTTGTCTAAAAATAACTGCATTCGCTGTTGACGAGCGGTGACTTGTTTTGAACTGTGGAGTAACCATGTAATACTTTTTCAAATCAGTAGATGGCAGCAGATAGCTAAGTACTTTGAAACTGAAAAATTGGATGCGACCACTGGCTGTAATAGGTCAGCATTGTGGCGAGAAAGGTAAAATTGGATGCGACCAACAAATGTGGGAGGGAGCGAGACAAGAGCTTTGTGGCGAGTGAGAAGTGAAAGTGATAGAGACGTTTTTGAAAATGAATTATGCCGTTTCTGAACAGGATTAACATCCTCCGCTCTGCCCCGGGGCAGCTGTGGCCGCGTTGTAGTGGTTTAACTATGAAATGTACAATTTTTGTACAACAGCTCTCGCGAACGCACTTCTGAACTGGGTACCGAGCGCAGACCATAGTCGAGTGGACAGAACCATAGACATGCGGACCGGACAGACTCATGGACTCGCGTTCAGGACCTCCCGTGTCCCTCATCCAAAACTCCTGAATTTAAAGCTCGGATACCTAAATGTTTCCCATGCACTAACAATGCATGTTCCTTGTGTGAGTTATTATTTGACTATTTGGGCAGAGAGTGGATTTTCTTAGTTTTTTTCCACACAGTTAGTGCCACTTTATTTCCAAACTCTTGTTAATTGTATCGAGAAATATTAAATAAAGCTTAATATCAAGGCCTGGACTTAAGCATTTTGATGAGAATAACTGTATATTGTGAATATAGGCTACAGAGTATACTGTATACATTATAAGATAAGATAAGATATACTTTATATATCACACAGAGTATGTACAGTATATATTTTTACATTAGTACTGTATACATTTTTACATTTTCTCCTGGAGGTGTACCGCAAGATTTTTTCAGTGAAAAAAGTGTGCCTTGGCTCAAAAAAGGTTGAAAAACACTGCTTTAAAACATGTGTTATAGTTACTGCTAAAGTGAAGGTCAGTTACTTTTCAAATTGTGAAGACCCACCCCCATAGGTTCCTGATTGGACGCATGAAAGAAAAGTCCCTCACCATTGGTCTACGTCTTCCCTTCGAGCAAATATATTTTGTTGGTGGTTATACCGAGGGGAGGAACTAATTTAAAGATAAGATATTCCTTTAATCGTCCTACAGTGGGGAATATTGTTGCTAATCTCACTGGTAAAGTACCATGTGGCGCAGAACTAAAAAAGGTCTCGTTATGATTCTCAAATCCATCCATCCATCCATTTTCTACCCTTTAATCCATTTCTGGGTCAGGGGGGTGGCAGTCAGAGATGCCACCCAAGTCTCATAGCACCAGCCCCTCACTGACCCTCTGCAGGTGGTGAGTCCACAGGAGGACGGCTGCTCTCTGAGTGTGAGCATAGCCTTGATCTTTCAGTGGGGGCTTTAATTCTCAAATCATTAACGACAAAACAAGGAATAAAACCAGGATTTCTATCTTTGTGAAAAAGGTGTTGGTTATAGATTTGTTGTTGACAAAACTCTTGTCTATTCAGCTGTTATGGTCCCAGCTGGATTCGTCTGCATATCTGGCAACCTGAGTCAGGGAGAGTGGGAGAGGCTGCAGTACCACTTTTGGCCACATGTTTACACACTGCTGCTTTAAGTATGATTTATTTTGGTAAAGTATCGGTTTTGTAGATTTATTCTGCGTCTGGTGAACAGCACATGAGAAAGTAGCTGAATGGATGATACTATGTGCAGAAGAGGCCGTGTTTGTGCGAGCCGTGGAAAATTGCTACAAGGGACGTGTGCAAATCAGACCTAAATCTTTTCTCAAAGACGGAATAATTCTGAGAAATGAAACGGGGCTGAATGGACACAGGACACAGCTCTGTGGAAGCGGCAAGAAACCACCAAGTGTGAACTCAGGACAGGAGCAAATGAGGCGTGGGCTCCATCACTGTTTAATCCCAATAAACTACCAATATTTATAAAAAGAAACTGAAAAAACGTATCAAAAATTAAAACAATAATAGTAATAATGCATGATAATTATAAACTTCAATTCAATCCTATCCACTTTGTTTACTGTATACAGCACATTTCATGTAGACAGTTTCCAAAGTGCTGCACAATAAAATACTAATTTAAAAAAATCCATATTAAAACAGAAAAATCGTTATAAATCAAACAGGAAAAAAATAAATAATAATGTCTATGTATTTTCCTACAGCCCTAAATCACAACATCAGACTTTACAGAGCCGTTGATTCTCCAAACACAGATCAGAAAATCAAAGATATCCATGAATATAAAATTAAAGACATTTTCTTCACAGGATCACTTTGTGTTTAACTTAATGTGTTTTGTTGTTTATGAAGTTGTTTTCTCAATCTGGAAAAAGTTAGAGTTTTTAGCATCTATCTGTGACTGTGGAGTAAACAAAATCAATATTAGCGTTTTTATTTTGCTGCTTTATTAAAGACCTTATGCCGGGTTTGATTTATTTAGAAATACAGTTTTAATACCATTTTATATTAGAAGAGAACTACTAAAGGTTTCAAAATCAGTTGTTTTTTTTGTCTGATTCCCCCAAATCGAAATAACCCCATAGCAACGCCCTTAGAGACGAAAAAACTTCACAGCCCTTGGTGACGTCAGAGTGGGTACGTTTCAATGCTGTAAGTTGTTTACAATTTGGTATTCGTTCTTTTTTCGCGGATATTCAAGATGACAAGGCCGTGTACAGCGAGTCTGAGATAACTACTAGAATGTGACATTCTGTTGTCACTGAGATAGTCCAGTGGTTGTGTCGATGGACTGTCAATCCAGATACTGGGGTTCAAATCCCACCTCAGACACTTTTTCACTCTCAAAACGGCAATGTATGTGTAGTGAGCAATTGTCACCTGTAGAGGGCAGTATTGTGTTGGGCATCAGTGGAGAGAAGTGCCGGATTCTATTTCAGATTGACATTGTCATGCAATTTTGATATCCAAATTTTTTTTTTTTTAAACCCGGCATAAGGTCTTTAAATATCTGCTTTTACAAACACATTGTCCTTGTGAATCGTGAAACTCGAAATTATACATAATGAACACTATACACTATTCATGACGATAACGAGTCATTTTAATGTGAGGATGGAAAGAACATATATTTGGATTTAAAAGTGTAAAAGATTATATTAGATTCAGATTCAGTGTATTTTTGCTATTTGCAGTAAAACCTTATTGGAATACATGCGCAAGAGCCCCCAGTGTATACCAGACAAGTACATAAAACCAGCTAAAGAGTACAGGAACACACACGTTAGCACACACACTTCGTCCTACATGCTGGGGGCCGTATATTGGGAGATTGAGAAGACTGTTCGTGAAGCACAGCGTTCCCAGCCGGACCCAGGTAACGGACCACCTAACTGTCTGTTTGTCCCGGACTCTGTCCGCTCCCAAGTCCTTTTGTGGGGGCATTCGTCAAAACTTGCATGTCATCCTGGTTTCAACCGCACACTGAGTTTCCTTAAACAAAGATTTTGGTGGCCAACTATGGACAAAGATACTCGCTCGTTTGTTTCTTCTTGTACTGTTTGTGCCCGCAGTAAGTCCACCCACCAACGTCCAGCTGGTCTCCTTCATCCCCTCCCTATTCCCAGCAGACCGTGGTCCCACATTTCGGTGGACTTCATTACTGGATTGCCACCCTCTGATGGTAATACATGCATACTTACCATAGTGGATAGGTTCTTTAAGAGTGTTCATTTCGTTCCCCTGGCTAAATTGCCCTCTGCCACTGAAACTGCGAACTTGCTTGTCAACAACGTTTACAGGTTGCATGGAATTCCTAAGGACAATGGGCCTCATTCACGAACGGTTCTTAGGAACAGATTTGTACGTAAATCCTACTTACGCGGTTTTTACGAAGAAAGTGGTATTCACGAATATTTCTCGTAACCAGAATTTCTCTTGGGCAAGTACAAATCCTACGAGTCCTCAGGAGCACTCGTACGCATTCAGTGCCGACATGTTCACACGCCGGGGTTGTCCTCTTTGGTGAAGTTTAATAAAAATACAACATTCCAGTGATATGTCCGTCATATCGATGTATGTATTTATTTATTTGTAGTAATCGTTATTAGTAATCTTTATTTATATACCGCCTTTTTCACTGCAGATCTGGCCTACTTTTTAATTCATTTTGAAATGAAATGTGCCAACGCTTTATCAAATACATTGGAAATCTTGCCGTGTATTAGTGACCCCTTCCTATTTATAGGGGGCATTTCTTTATCCACGGGCCCCAGAACAACGGCATATATACTGCTGCTGCAGGAGGTTACTGGGTCCGCGCTGAGTCTCTGCGCTGGTCTCTCCCATGGATCTATACGGGTCTGCACTGGTCTCTCTCATGGATCTATACGGGTCTGCACTGGTCTCTCCCATGGATCCATACGGGTCCGCGCTGGTCTCTCAAGTCTGGTCTATGCGGTCTATCTTCGGTCCGCGCTGGTCTCTGCGCACCGGTCTCTGCAGTCAGGTCACTCCAGTCTATGCGGTCTCTCCTGTCCGCGCTGGTTTCTGTGTGCTGGTCACTCCAGTCTCTCCTTGGGTCTGCATTGGTCTCAGCGCTGGTCCGCGCTGGATCTCCTCCCAGGGTCCAAAATATTTTGAGATTAATCTCAAAACATTTTGAGATTCATCTTTAAAATAATACATAATATATTTTTAAATTAAGCTCATAACATTTTGAGATTAATCTCATCATATTCTTAGATTAATCTCATAATTTTGCTAGTTTGACTTTATTATCATAATATTTAGACTTTTAAGTCAACATTTTATAACTTTATTCTCAGTCTGGT